TTTTTTATTTGCTCCCTCCTTGAGGCAGAGATTCTCTGCAGCTGAGAAACAGCACACAAGGAAGGTAAAATCAAATGTGAAACACTACACTTAAAAATACACATAAATACACAAAAAAATGTGTGTTACATGAAAATGGGTGCGTTTGCATTTGGCAAGATTCATTTCTGAGCTTCAAAAACTTATTTATTTGATTTAAACATGTATAATTTCAGCTGTTTCTGACATATGTGATATTATCTGACTGATAAGTGAAAAACACCTTTCTGTATCAATGAAATGTCAAAATTATGTTTGTATATTTTATCTCTCCTGCCCATTTTGGGCCTCTGACAAGCTGACACATGGTCCTAAAATTCTCTTTGCCTTCGTATTTATGTCTGGACCTCCTGTAAGATTTGGAACATCCAGCTATGCCAGGCAAACATCAGAATACAAAATTCACATCAAGGGTTAAGTATCAATATCTTTAGGATTCTTTTTATTTTATTCTGCCAAATTCCAAGCAGTGGTAGAATTCTAAATCAAGGTATCTGTTACCTGAATTGTTGAAGGCAGAACAATTTTCATGGAATTTTATCTCCTTCTGGATATTTACACACTCTGTTGCTGCACCAGAAAAGCAGCAGGCCATGGGATAACTTAGGTTTTTATCTTTTGGACTGAGCACAACTTGAATCATTAAATGTCAAATTTATTGCCAAAATTGAAATGAAATCTGGCTAAATTGTATTGCAGAAATTGCCAGGAAATCTGAGTATGAAAGACTTAAATGAAAAAAACTAAAGAAAAGATAAAAACAGAGAATCTATCTAGTTTAAATAGTGAATGAGCATAAACTGAGCTGGCAGAGGTAGAGTAAATGCAACAGGATTTTTTTTTTGTCATTTTAATCACTGAAAATATCCCCAGATGTGAGGCAGAGACTGGGAAAAAGGCCACACTCTCCAGAAATCAAAGCTCCAAGCAGTACCTGTGCTCCTCGTCGAGAACCAATCTCAGATGTGCACAGCAGGCTGGGAATCCCCAAACAAGATGTAAAAGGCCTCTACTCTGACACCAGAGAGAAGAAATCAGGTTAGTTCTGTGCAGAAAATGTTCTGCTGCAGTTCCTTTGGGTTTGGAGTCTAAGAGAAATTCCGGCAGAAAGCCATGAAGGGTTGATGCTGAATGAAATTCAGGATAAATTAGCAAATGTTTGTTCAAAGCTTTGAAATCTAAATACACAGAGGGAGGAGCTGGGGGTTTTTGGGAGCAGTGTTTTTATGGAGGTGTGCTGAAGATCAAAGACTGCTTTCAAACTGTGGGCACCAAAACAAGTGTCAGGAATGCAGAGGCACTTGAGATGTGAATTAAACATCCTCTGCAAATAGGGAACAATGAACAAGGCTGCCCTGAGCCTCCTGCAGCTTAATTTCAATTACTCTTCAAAGCATGATCAGTTCTATGCCAAATAGTAAGGTGGGAAGAGTATGAAGGGTTTGAAGAGTTGCAGTGAGTTTAAGAATTGGTTCCTTGACTTCTTCCTCTCAGTCCTGTCTGTTTTGGGTTTTTAAAAATGTTTGTTTTTCATCTGCTTAGGTAATTTATGGACCAGACTGGGGTCTGCTCCGAAGGCACAGGAAAAGACTCCAGAGAAAGCTGAAAACTCTGTGGCATCTCCAGAGGAGGATGACTCTGAGCTGCAGAGGGTTTGGGGTGCTCTCATTAAGGAGAAAGAACAGTCCAGGCAAAAAAAGAGTCGCTTGGATCATTTACCCTCCCTACAAATCGAGATCAGCCGGGAAAGCAGCTCTGGCTCAGACTCTGAATCATGACTGTTTTCACAGCCTGACCCTCCTGGTGGTGACTCTGCAGCGTGGCAGGATCCCCTTTGCCCAAAAGCTGGACACTGGCAAAGACTCTGCAGTGAAGGTTCCAGAAGTGTCTCTGTTCCTTTTCTACAACAAGAGAGGCGTAAACCACTTGAAACTTAAAGCAAACCTGTTTGTCTGGAGTCTGTGGCTGGCCCTGTGCTCCGTAGGGCATTGTCATCTCTGTTGATGACAGCAAACCTGTAGTGAATTGTAGCAAAACATTTTCTCCCCCGAGCTTTGAACTTAAAAGATGAGACAGAAATGCTCTGTATTTTAAGGAGACGTTTTCTGTTCTTGGTATTTTCATCATGGAGGCTTTTAACAAAATGTTTTACACACTTCATCCAAAGAACAGGGCATTTCATGATCCAGATCATTGCCTTGCCCTTCTGGCTCTTACCAGCACTTTTCCTTTCCTCTTGAAGTAATAACAATAAAGCTTCCTGGGTGGGCAGCCAGCAAGGATAAAGCATGAAGGGATTGATTATCACATTCCCTTCTTCCAACACACTGAATGTAAATCCAGGTTACACATTTTATTACAGTTAAATTCCATATAGTTATCCCAGTGGCACCACCAGAATCCAAGGAATCCTGCTCGTTTATTTTGGTGATGCCACATTCTGCTGTAGCAGGGATTGAGATATTCAGGACTCCCAAAGTGGATGTTTGACAATTGTGTAAATCCCTGAGGGTTTGGGGTTTTTTTTTTTTGCTATTTTTCCATGAGGAGAGATTATATTCCTGTCATTCCACCTGGATTATGTCCTGAAGCAATCCAACAGCTGGAAAGCATTTTTATATTTGTGAGAATCTTGCTGTTGGCCACAGTGAAAGTTCTAGTGTGTTCTCCTCTGTGCTGTTCTCTATCTATATAGAAGTGAAAGAGAAAAAGAAAACTTTAGAATCACTGTCTCCTGTCAATACTTTGGATGTTCTTCCTGTACAGTACACGTGGATGTGGACATGGGTGACTTACTCCATTCAGCTTTTTTATCTGCACATTTTCATCCCTCCCTGGGTAGGACAAGGGTTTGATCAATGTGCAACTGTTATGTTTTTTTCTCATGTTGCCAGTAATTCTGAGTGAGGAATAATGCAGCACATCACATTCAGGTAAACAACAGGTAGCAAAACCATTTTAATAGTCTGAAATCTGTTTGCATTGTCCCTCATCCTTGGTTCTGTCAGTCCAAAATATCTGTGAACTTCTCTCCCCATTTCTGCTTTTTAACAAGCAAATTTTTCCTTTTTTTTTTTTTTTTGCCCTCTCCCTGTTTTTGTACTAAGTTGAAGTAGGTTTGAGGTTTCAGCAGGGAATCTGCAAAATTAACTTTTCTTACGCTTTATGATGTGTGAGGATAGCAATATGTCAAATGAAAGGTCAAAAGACAGGCATAGCGACTGGAGGGGCAATCTGGGGGCTGGCCAGGCTTCAAGCCTTACTCTTTCCTTGTTTTGTGACACTCATCCTTGATTTTATATTTAATTATTGAATATATAAATGTCTCATAAAAGTACTGTTGAGAGAAACGCCTGCAATGTCTGATCACTGTAATAACTCATTTTAAACGTGTGCTTTCATTAATATCCTCTCCCCAAGCTTTCCCAGAGAACCACACCCATCTCTCCACATCCTGATAAAATTGATTTCACCAATGTCTTTTTGCCAGTAAACCTTTGTGTTGTGTCACTGCTTTGAATCCACTGGGACCTTTCCTTTTCCTGAAAGGAATCATCCACCTCCTCCACCAAAACTCCTGGATTATTGGGAACCATTGCATGGTGTTTCCATGTCAATATTCCTAATTTAAGCCTGGTGAAGGATAAACTAATGGGAATAAAGGATCTCTGTAGCTGATATAAAAGATGTGTGAAATCGAGCACAGACCTGTGTTTCAGGAAAAGGCACCCTTAACTCCACTTCTGTCTTCCAGGTTGTCAGAAATACGCCTTAAAAATTCCCCCACACTGGTCAGGACTGTAGTTTTATGGTTTTGGGGGTTATGTGTAATACTGAGCCCACAGGAGCTTACTTAGCTGCAAGAAAAAATGAGATTTATGGTTTAAGGGACCTGTAGAGAGGGTTTTGTAATTGAGTGTGCCTGGTTTTGCTTTTTTATGATGTACAGAGAAGCCTTGAAGAGTGCTGGTATCGGGAATTCTTTCCAGCTTTGGGCTTCCTTAGTTACCTGAGCAAGAAATTCTGGGATTTGGTAATTAAAAATGAACTCTGAATTTTAAGTCAGTGCTTTTTCCTCAACGTTTTAACTTCCATCTATTTGATCGAGAGATTGCAAAGAGAATCCTGTTGCAAATCCCCTTCTCTTTGTGTTTTTAGTCCTTAGCTAATGTGTTCTTGATTTTTTTAACTCACCTCCCAAATATCATCACCTACTGTAATTTGATGCAGAAATTGATGTTTGATAGGGAGACACAGGTAACCTGTATATTTCACTAAAATCCGTTCATGTTTAAAATTGCAAAAAATGAGAATGTTTGCTTTGGCTCTTGCTGGAGGATCTGTGCCTCAGAGGAAAAACTGAATTTTAGGTGATTTGTTACAGCACCACACTAGTTCTTCTCGTAGGAGGTTTTTGCAGTTTGTAAAAGGTGGATTTTTGATAAATAGTTCTTCAGGCTGGCTGAACACGTGGCGCGGAGGGTGAAATTTTAAAGCAAAGGTGGCTTTTGTGTTTCTTTTTAAAAGGATGCCTGATGCATTTAAGAGGGAAAAGGAAACCAAAACACCCTATTTGCAGTTCAAGATGACACAATGTAAAAAGAGTGGAACTTTTATTTAAAAACAGCTGTTCTGTTCTAAATAAAAGTGGCCTGAAATCACTCCGACCTCTCCAGTTTTCCTGGAAAAACAAGCAGACCTGAGGGCAGGGCCGGCCGGGGGCGGCACGAGGGTCCCCGCCCCGGGCTGTCGCCTCTCTCTGCCTTCAGGTGGTGCCTAAAGCCGGGCTGTTTTTGGGGTGAGCTGAGTTTGGGGTTTGTTTTGGGCTGGGGTTTGAGCGATCCCCGGGGCTCCGCTCCCTCCTGGCCCACATGGGAGGAAATGGAAGCCTCGGCGCACCCCCGCCTGTGGAGCCATGGTACTGCCCACCCCAGCCGCGGGGTGGTACGGTCCAAGTCTTTATAAGCGGTCGCCGAAAACGCTCCCGCCTTTTCGTTCGTGCCCTTGGAGCGGGTGAGGTGTGGACGATCGGAGCCGGGCTCGGGGCCTGCCGGGCGGGCAGCGGGGAGGTGCAGGCCCGGTTTGCCGAGCAGAGCGCCCGTACCAGTGAGCGAGCTAAAGCGCTCTCTCCCCCAGTTCGGCAGTGGTAGCGGCCGCCGGGCCTGCTTGGGCCGCGCGGACCGGGCCGCGCCATTGAGGGGCGGGGGGGGCCGCGGCCTCATGGCACGTGGCGGCTCACGGCCCTTGTCCCTCAGGCCACCATGGAGGCGACACCGGCACCGCGACCCCGCCGGCAGCTCCGGGACCCCGCCAGGGCTGCGGTAACGCCTCCCCGGTAAGTCGGGAGGGCTCGGTGTGTGGGGGATCACGCGCTGCCGGCACAGCCCTGCCCGGAGCTCCATGAGGGCCGTGCAGGTAAAGCTGCTGTGGGGAGCGCTCGGAATCCAGCGCCGGCCATCGTTTTTTATGGCGCTGTTTCAGCAATTTGGTCTCTTACTTGATTCTTCGGTGTGCCAGGCCCATTCTGTGTGATCAAAAGTCACACCCTGCAGCATTGGAATGTTTGCGATTTCAGTTTGAAAATAGCCTTGTTGATAAATGCAATCCTGCGAGCTGCACACTTAAGCTGCTTTAAATATACATAATTCTAAATTTCCTGATTCAAAATTATATAGAGAAGATTGCTGAGTACTTATAGCTGTCCGATATAAATATTCTAGTGATTCATATCAACATAAACACTGGTGGAAGCGCAAGCAGAGTTAGGCACGAGGGTCTGGTTTTGTTCCTGTTTTTCCCTGTATAAAGCTACTTTATACTGCTGAAGAGTATTATATTAATACTTCTCTTGGTTTTACTTCCACAGCAGAAAGAAGAATAAGAATAATAATTTACTTCTTGTCTTGAAGTAAAGAATAAGGTAAAGGTTTTGGTTTTTTTTCTAGAAATTAAGGTGTGCAAAGTTGTTTAAGAGGTTCCAGGCCTATAGAAGTCAAAAATAACTTGTGCAAGTTACATCTTGAGTTAAATAAAAAGTCACTAAAATTGATTTTGTGTCCACGCCAGTTAAGAATTAATGCTTCATACACAGAGGGGAGATTGTACAAGGGTTTGAGATACAAGCTAGTGTTTTGAATGATTAATTAGAGGAGTTAATTAATGGCTGTTGATGATGATAACCCTGAATAGGAAGTGCCGTCAGATGCGAGAACTGACGATACCCTGACTCTGGTCTGAAATGCAGCTACACACAGGGGCTTGGACCTCGAAATTCATCCTCTAGAACCCACCTTGCTTGCTCTCCATGAAAACATCTCACCTTTGTGTCCTTCTGTCCCACTTCCCCTGCAGAGCCTGGGCTTCCCATGTGGATGTGACACAACAGGACAGGGGACAGGTGGGGAGCTGGCCCTGATGTGCAGGTGAGTGATGGGTTTCAGTGCACGGTGTAGAATTCTGTACCAGCTGAAGTGTAAATTGTAAATTTAGAATGAGGTTTATAGGATACAGGGAGCTTGAGAGGTGTATTTTCACTTAATCTGTGTTCCATAATTTTGTGTGTCTGATACTTATTTCCTGTTGTATTTAGGTAGAGCCTGCAGGTCTCTGCTGCCACATGCTGGTTGTTGATGTGCACCCACTGAAGAGACAGCTCTTCACGAGTCCTGTGGAGGGCACTGACACAGCAGAGCAGGACAGTGCTGGGTGAGTTTATTTGTTGTGCTCTTAGCTGCACGTGGTGGCTTTTCTGCAGAAATGTTTCTGCTCTAAATGTATAATTTATGAAGTTTTAGGCCAAAAAAACCAACTTGGACTAAAATACAGGCAGTAAATGTGTAAGAGCAGCTGTTTCTGCACTGTAGACAAAGGGATAAAGGTCTTGCTTCTGCCACAACAAATGTACCTGTTTCCCTTTGATATCATGTGATGAAACTAACCCAAACTTGCTGGAATTACCGGCAGATTGACTGGTGGTGAGCAAAAGGTTTTCTGATGATATCTCACTCATTAACAAATCCATTAATGATGATTAAGGTTGGTTACCTGACCCTGCTCCTGTGTTCCAGGTGGTGCTGCTGGAAACGTCTCTGAGGCAGAAGGACTCCCAACAAAACACCTGAGCTTGAGGATTTTGTGTAGACACATTTTTCTGCCTGTTACAAAGTGGTGACAGTTAAAAGTGTTTTATTACATATACATTAAAGTATTTTTTAAACATTGTGTTCTGTAACTTTACTGCATTAAGGAGTGACTTTGCATTCTGCAGCACATTTTTAATAAACACACTGGGCACTTCTACAATGTGCTGTGAAATGGTGAAGATGGTCCCAGATTGCAGAGTGTTTACTGCAGATAATGCCAGCAGAGTTTAGTGTGGTAATTAGAGTTTAAACAAGACACCAAGAGTGTAATTACTGCAGAGATCAGCCCTTAAATACTCTGAGCAGCAAAGGCAGCTGCATCTGTAGCTTGTTTGCAGGCTTGCTGTTTGTCATTTTGATCTCAAACTTGAGTTTAAAGTCTGCTGCAGAGGCAAAGTTCAAGGGTTGGGGGGAATGTTGGGAACTTGGAGATGCTTTAAACAAGTTAAAACCCGGCATTTGAGGCCAAAACTCCCAATTAGCTTAATTATGTCAGTATAGCTGGCAGGTTATAACACTTCAGTGCTCCTAAACATCCAAACTGATGGTGCCGAGCCTTCTGCCCACTTGGTGTCAGCAAGTGGAAGGTTTTAGGGTGTGGTTTTTGCAAAAGCTTTTTGCTCTTTGCAAAATTTTTATTCATAATTAAACTTAATTCCTTATGAGCCTATGATCACTCTGCCAAAGTGGGATCACAGTGTTCACAGCTCCAAGTGGGAGAGTTTGGAATTGACTTCACTGGATTCCAGGTGAAGATCTGAATTGCTTTCAATTTTTATTTTGACTGAAAGGTGTTGTGAGCTGGTGCTGCTCATGTGGCATCACAGGGCAGTGTCCCTGTCCCTTGAAAAGCAGAGGTGGCTCTGATATCTGAAGTATAAATTCCATTAAATGCAGAATTTCAGGAATTTCTCTTAAAGTCAGTACTCAGAAAAACAAGCTTAAGTCTTTTTCAGAGAAACCTGGTTCTAAAACATGCAGGTAAATTAACCTGGATTATTTTCCTGTAATTGTTACTGTAATACATCCAGGGCTTAATAAAAAACATTCAGCCTGGGCAATGGAGTAGGTAAAACATGTTTGGAATTAATTAGTTGCTCTGTATCTGAAAGGATTCGAGCAGTATGAGGAACAGGTTTAAATAAAATTTGAAGTTACATTCTGTTCCCAGTGTTTAAAGAAACAACACTATTTTTGCCTGCTTTTAAGAGCTTGTGTATTAGAACATGTTGATATTTCTTACAACATGCACTGGGAATAAAAATGGGTATAAAGTGAGCAAAAAGCACAAGGAATCCACCATTTTTTAAAATGTGAATCTGCAGACCATGAAGGTAAAAGCAGCCACATGCCCTCAGCAAACAGAAACAACCAGCAAATTGTTTAATGAGCTGTTTAATTTGCTCAAGGAAGGTTTGCTGCAACTTGTTTTATAATTCTTGCTTTCTAGTGTTAGAACTCTCTTTGAAACAGAGGAAAATTGGTCTGGGTAAACTTAAATACTGAATTTATCTGGGTTTATTGAGGGTGCAGTTGGTGGTATCTGTTGGAGAGAAGTATTCACGAGTTACATTTTAGCATCACTTGTTTATTCTAATCAAAACCAAAGTTCCTCAGCAGGGATCCTCTAACAGGCTGGGTTTTTTCTGAGATTAATGAATGGAAAAGTGTTATTTCTGTTAGAAAATGGTGCCTTTCAAACAAAACAAGTGTCCTCAACATTTTACTGTGATCTTCCAGGGGAGCACAGATCATTTCATGGCGCTTGAGGGGAGCGGAAATAAAACCATTCTGTTTTGATTACATTTGGAGCACTTAAAACTTAGTGTTGGGGAATAAACAGCAGACAAAAATCTGGTTTTAAAACACAATTATTTTGGATTTTCTAAAGGTTTAAAAAGAACAGTTGGCAGGAATCCCTTTGGCACTCAACAGCAGCCAACAGCCCCCGGATAAATCGAAAATAGATGAAAAGATTAAAGCAGAAAGAAAGAAAATATGCAGCAAAGCAAAGAATGGCCGAGTGCCAACTTTTAGCAATAAGAGAGATGGCAATGCCATGTCTCAAATCACTGAGAGAAAACATGAAGATTATCCCCAAAATACGTGTTGTGGCTGTGGAGCTGATGGAGAGGGGCTGGAATTGTGGAGGAGGAGGAGGAGAGGGATCGACAGGGGCAGAGCTGCCTCGCTGCTCCCTCACTAAATCACAAGCTTCACGTTTCACATAAATGCTTGTTATCATCCTTATTTCTTGATTAGTATTGCAAAGCAATCATATCTACATCAGCACGAGAGTAATCACTCATGCAAAGCCATAAATTACTATAATTAATACATCCCAGCTATTAATGGCAATGTAAAGAGGAGCTCTCTCTTGGCTTGGTGTGCCAGCTGAGGCAGTTTGAGCTGTATCTACTTAATTAGAAGGGAGGAAGGGATATCCTGTGTGTCTGAGCTCTGCAGAATTCAATAAATCCTAAATACTGACACTTCTCTCCTTTTCCCCTCAGAGCATGAGGAAGAGCTGTTAATTTTCCAACTCCATTTCAGAGAAGTGAGGCACAAAGGAGCTGCTGTGTTCCAGCAAGGAAGAACTTTGGTGTCATGCAAGAAAAGTGTCACAGGTTTGTTTTCTCCCAGCTAAAGAATGGCAAATGCTTTGTTTTAGTTTCTGAGATGCCACAGGCAGCAACTCTTGAGCTGCTCAGAGCAAAAACTCAAAATAACCAGGGGGTCTTTGGCCTTTCTCAGGCTCAGGATGTTTCTGGCACCACACTGACCTTGTGCTGCCAGAACTTGAGCACATTTCACGTGTTCCTATAAAAAGGACAAGGTTAATGCATCATTTAATGCTCTGCTAGGACAAACATTCCCCTTCTTTGTCACTTCATGTAATTTAGTGCCTTAATTTTACGCTTGAAATCAGTTTCAGCCCAAGTGTTATGAACCCATCCTAAAACTGCTGAACGTGGTGGGGATTGGACAGGTGGGATTTGATTTCGGGTGTGCAAGGAGGGCTGATTTAAAGAACATGGAGCGTTTTCTGCTCCTGTGCTCTAATCCAAAGAGTAACATCTGTCCTGCTTTACCTCCTGACACTTGAGCCCACAAGATGGGGCAGTGCCCATGCTCAGAGCATTTGAAATAAAAAGAGATTTTTGCAGCCTTGAAGATGCTTCTTTGGGGAAACTCGGTTTTACTGCTGGTTCCCTTCCTGTTGTATAATAAGATTTGCTGCTTTCATTACTATGTAGAGAATCCCACACACAGGGAAAATGTCACTCTTTAATTAGCTGTTAATTAATGTTTCTTAGGGCTGGACCAACAAAGGCTCAGTTTTTGATGCTGTGCAAACTTGCAGTCATGGTCCCAACCCCAAAGTGTGCCTGGTCTGAGTGTGATGAAGAGCCAAAGGAATTAAAAGTTATTTTTATTTAATAAAAATAAAGGATGATTTGCCCTTCATTACTTCCCCTCCCATGCAGCTCAGGACCTGCCAGGCTGTGCCTGCTCCAGGTGGATTTTGAGTCAATAAACACCCCCAGCACCTGTGTGGAACTGAAACCTGAACAAAATGCAAATGAGAAAATCACTTAGTGGAGACTGATTTCAAATCCCTGCTGTTTTAATCAAATAGAGATGTTAAAAGTTTAATCTCCAATAATTAAGACTTTTGTTTGTTGGACTCCTGCTAGTTTATGCAAGTCAATACTTGAATTTTTTTCCATAACAGTTTTTTTTGTTGTTGTTTGTAATGGTTTGTGGTAAAATGATTGTACAGCACAGCTGCAACACGAACTCTAAACAAATAATGATTGATGTTTCTGAAGCTGCCTGTGGCTTTCTGCTAGGCTCTCCTTGGTTTTCTTTATAATTTTGATTTATTTCCCACATTTTTTAATTGCTTTCTTGCTTGTGCTTTCCCAGATCATGTAGGAGAGTTACTCTAGGTTTGGTTTTCTTTGCAAACTACACCTAAAGATTTGTTAGTGTTAGCTTTGGGTTTGTTGGGTGCTGTTATCACTGAACAGTGGTACAGGCTTGAGGTTTAATAGCACATTAAAGACAAACTTCTAGCTGAGCCTGAGGTTATCAGCCATAATAAAAAATAATATATTTTCCTGGATAGCTGAAACTTTATTAATAAACACCTGAGTCAAGATAACAGTGGTACCAATGATAATTTGTTTATTGGCTCTTATCAGATAGCAAGTGCAGTGCTGGTGCTCAGGTGATCTGTGAGCTGTTTGATGCAGCTCATAACAACAGCAGCAGCTAAAATATCCAATATAAATGTTTTACATCTGTGCCTCCATCTGATAATCCTGCAGCAGTCTGCAGTGTTCCACATCGCCTCATTACAGATAAGGAACTGGAGCTTGGAGCCGTGCTGAGAGCAGGCAGAGGATTTGGTCAGTCATTGGATAAAGCAATTTTCCTGAACTGTGTCAAATCAGGTATTTTATTCCTTTCAGCCATGGCAGTAAATAATAAACCCTTTGTGCTGAGTGAAATCCAGGGGATACCTGCTGGGAAGATGATGGGAATTGTTTCAAAGCTGGGAGAGAGGTGGGAGCTTTGAAATGCACAGTGATGAGAAGCTCCTGCACCAAGGTACCTGCACTTTGAATTTAATTTAATTTAATCTATCCAGTCACCTCCCCACCAGCCTGTTTGCTGCTGTGCTTTGGAGGAAGATGCTCTGTGCTTGCAGGAGGTGAAATAAAGCATCAGTGTCAGGGCCAGGCTGTTTGGAAATGCAAAACAGGAGCTGCATCAAGGGCGAGGGATTTCAAAGGTGCTACTTTTATGCTTCAAAAAGGTCTTTGGAGATGACAGCAACAACGTGGTGTCACTTGGCAACAGGTCAGAGGCTAAAGCTGAGGCAAAGGAGGGGTTTCAGGGAGGAGAACGGGGCTGAAGAATCACCAACACCAAAATGGTTTGAAGAATGGATGTGACTCCAGGGTGAGGGAACAGCTTTGGTGGTGGCTGCCCCTGCCCTGGAAGTTCAGCCCATTTTGGGGGTTGGCACAGAAAAAGGATAATATTTGCATTTCAGCCCCCAGCTCTGCTGTTTCTGTGCCTGTGCTGGAGGGGAGCTCTGAGCCTGCAGGAAAGCACAGCTTGGGAAAATCCTGAGCCTTGGAAGTGATCATTTAACAAGCAGGTGGGAACTGTGAAGGTGAAACAACAACAAAAAAAAGGAATAGCGAAGTCCTCCTCTTGGAAAGTGATGTGTAAATGCACACAGCCCCAAGCAGGGGCCTTTTATTTTGTATGTTTGCAGCCTGTTCACCTCTGGGATTTTCTGCCTGTTCCTCTACATGCAGAGTTTCCCAGCAGTGGAATCCTGTAGGATCAGTAGTCAGAGCTCTGGGGCAGCAGGTACCAGTGTGATTGATTCTTTAGTGCCTTATTTTTCATTTCTAGAGGAGCTGGAATTGCAGCTCTTACCTGGAGTGAGTTACAAGGAGCAGCTGCCAAAGGGAAGCTCATTCCTGCGCTGTGCAGCTGCATTTTCCACATCTGGTGTAGCCCAATATCCCATCGTTTTCCGTCCATCCCTGAGTCTCTGTATGCCTATTTCAGGAATTAGGGCCTGTAGTAAGATGCTTTGTGGCTTTAATTATGTAGATTGTGTTTAGAAGGGCTGTGAGTGCTGCTTGCAAAATCCTAATCATTAAGCACCTTCCCCAAAGCCCTGCACAGACCCAGAGGAACCCTGGTTCTCCCTGGAGAAGACCAGAGCTGACAGGGAGAGCCAGGAATAAAGTGGTTTTACAGCACACACCTTGAAAACCCAGTGATAAATGCCCAGGCCAAAGATTCAACAAGTTACATATTAATATTTCTCTCCTCTTTTGTAAACCTCAAATCTATTTGTCCTTCCAATAACAGCTCCCTGAGAGCTGCCACGTGCACCAGGCTCACTGAAGGCTGGGATTGCTCATCCCCACAGGTTTATTTTCTTTTCAGACTGAGTTAATAAAACAGCAAAGAAGAAAGATGGCCCAGAAGCCACAGGATCAATAAGCTATTAGGAGCCAAGAAAACTCAGCAAACTGCACACATAATTAAAGGCTGTGGTGAACAGGTTGCATCTTTTCTGACTCTATTAAATCAGGTCTTCAGTTTTATGTAAAACCATCAACTGAGCTGAAGGTAAAACCAGCTGTGTCTCTGTGTATTTACAGAGGGGGAGATAAAAAATGCACGCCCAGAACTGCCAGAAAGGACTGGAAACAAAGCACCTCCAATTCCCCACCCATCAAGGGTAATTGAGCCACAGGCTGATGGAGTTGTCACGTAAAAATATGACACTATTCCAAAATACCTTTCCTGCAGTGTCAGCTTGGGATCCAGGATTCCTCCAGTGAGCCGAGCTCTTGTGTTCCTCCTGGAGAACAAACCCTGTGCTAACATTTTGTAGAAACACAGATCCCAGAATGGTTTGGCTTGGAGGGGACCTTAAAGCTTTTTTCATTCCAACATTCTGCTGTGGGCAGGGACAATCCAGTAATCCAGCTTGTTCCAAGCCTTGTCCAGCCTGGGATTATCCATCCATTTATTCATGATAATTAATTAATATTAATGTTAATGTGCCTGGAGCTGGCCCCCCCCTAGGAAGTGAGACTGGAGCCTGGCTGGAGGCAGGCAGAGCACCGTGAGGGATGGCTCTGTCCTTCAGAATTTCCTGTTAAAGACATTTCTTAGATCTGGAAAGCTCCTCTCCTCTTGCTCTATACAGCCTGCTGGTGGAAATCATCCCCCAGGCAGAGAGGAACTCCCTTGGAGTGCAGGAAAAGTGGGATCACAGGATGACATCCTTGTACCAGAGAGATCAGGAGATTTCATCTCACCATGGAACATTTCACTGTGGAGGTTGGGTCAGTTGTTTTTACCCCTTTCTCCTAAGCTTTGACACGTGAATTCTGCTAATAAGGTCAATTAGTTTCCTTGGCAATAGCAGATCCCAGCTAATGGAGCAGGGGACTCTGTGTTTCCAGGACACAAGTGCTTCTGAGCATGAGCTCACAAACCTGCTGAAACGAGGGGTGATGAACCACAGGAGAGCCCTGGAAGGTTTTTGCCCCTCTCCAAAGGCAGTTTGAGTGGGATAACCCAGCGTGGTGGCACTGCCTGGGGCAGCCCCTGGTCACTGCTGCCTCCTGTGTCATCCCCTTATCCTTTAGGTCATTTTTTGGCTCTTCCTCTGGGGAAGGTTGGTGTTTGGGTAATTTTGCTGACTTCTGCCCCTGAGAAGCAGCAATGCTTTTGGCCTAAGTATTTTGAGCTTCTGGACATCCCCAGCAGTGTTTCTGTGTCTCCCTCTGCTCTCCCACACACTCCCTGCTTGGGGGTGACTTTTCCCAGCCCTCTTTCCTGCTCCAAACCATCACCTGGGAATGTAACCTTAATTTTAAATGAATAACCACCTTCAAAACACAGGCAGGTTTGGTGAAAACTCTTCCCAGATCACCCAGCTGGAAGGAGCTCTCCAGCCCTTTCATGCCTCTCTCCTTCCTCTCTCATTCCCCGCCTGCTGTTTCTATTCCCCTCGCTGTGGGCTCCTCAATCTGCACAGAATGATTTCCAATTACGTTTTTGTTGCTGAGGGCATAAATCTCCTCCCCAGACTGGTTTGCTTCATGCCCAGGCAGAGCTGTGGTGCTGGTGGAGAGAGAACCAACCAAGCCAGGCTGAGGCGTTTTATGTTTTATTTATTTTATGGTGGCCCTTTCCTCCCTTCCTTGACAAGAAATGACCTCATTCTTCTTTAATATTCTAACAGCGGTGATTTTCAGTCCTTGAATCCTTCATCTAAGGCCAGTTAAAAGCTTCTGACCCGAAGCAGCAGCCCAGTGTAGCCCAGGGAACATTGATTATACGTGGAGTGAGCCCTGAGCTTGTTTTGATGTTGATGAGCTGGGAAGGGAAGCGTCTCACTTTGCTTTCTTTAAAAAAAAACCTCAACCAAACCCCACTCTGTGCTGAGCCCACAGGATCATCATTATCCTGAAGTGCACTAAGTGGATAATTGAACTAATCCACACTGTGAGGAAGGCACTGATGAGCCAAAGCTTTTATAACCAACGTTCTCTACAACAACTCTGCTTTTTTCCCCCTTTTTCCATGAAAGTAATTTGGTGCATCCTCCAGCATGCACGGATGCATTGATAAAAATCCCTTTCTAGCTCTGTCTCTGTCTCAGAAGGGCTGAATCCTCACTGGGCACAGGGATATCGTCAGCACCAGTGGAGCAGAGGTGGCTCAAGCAGTGCAGCACCTGCACAGGGCAAAGGCTGTGGGATTTGGGATCTCTCTTTGGAGATATTCAAATTATTTCTCCATGGCCTCATGTGTTTCCCAGCAGGTGGAAGCTGAGCTGGAGGGGAAATGTGGCAGGAGCAGCCTCCTGGGTGGTTTTTGTCTGTGAGGGAATGGAGCAAAGCAGGAAAAAGGATGCAGAGCTCACTCTAAATGCAAAGTGCCTCTGGTTTGTGGATTTGTGAACTGGGGGGTCCAGGCAGCTCCGCAGGCTCTGGGTCCTGTGCAAATACTTAACAGGGAATAAAAACCTTGCAGCAAGGAGCTTGTGATTTAAATAATTTAAACAGGCAGAGGGGCTTGAGCTGTGCATGAGGAGGAGAGGAGCCCAGTACTGAGGTACCTGGGTAGAAAGAAGGAATTGCTGCAGTTTCTTTTTCTTTCTTTTTCTTCTTCTTTTTTTTTTTTTAATATTTTTTCTGCAAAGAGAAATTTTCTTCTTGATTAAATCCCCCTGCGTTCCTCCCAGCTCCTTGGCCCCCATGGTTTGTTGCTGGGACAGAGCCCATGCTGCAAATAAACAGCTTTTTCTCCTTCAGTGCACTAATACTGGAGATAAACACCCTGTGGAGCACTACCCCACTCTCAGCATTCCTTTCTCCCACATTATTTCACACACTGCCAATATTTAAAATTTAAAAGATGCTTTTATGATGCTTCTGTGTCCACCTTGTACCCACCCTGAAGAATCCAGCCCATAAACTGAGCTCTTTATTTCTCCAGCAGCTCTCAGCACTGCCTTGCCCTCTGTTTTTTTCTTGGGCATTCAACCTGGACAGAGGAAAAATTCAGCACTGGGTCTTTATTAAACATTATCATTTATTTTGCTTATGGATAGCTCCTTTATTTCAAACAGAAATATTCCATATTCACTGGAAAGTTTTTTTCTGTTTTTTTCATGCCTGTTGGAAAGAGTTAGAATTAAAACAAAACAAAACAAAAAAACAATAAGGAAAAGAAAAAGGCTTGGATACATGCAAATCATACTGTGTGTTGCCAAATGTATTAGAAGTAGCAGAGTTTTTTCTAAGTTACCTTCTTGCAAATGGAGGACAAACAATCACTGGTAGCCTGAAGCCTCTCTGGAAAAATGGACAGAGCCAATGGGACCAAAAGTCTGTTTGCACCCAAAAAAAAGCCAAGCTGGAGCCACTGCTGGGAGCTGCTCAGGGGAAGGGACAGAAAGAGGCTCCCTCTGCAAAGGGAGTCAGGTCTGCTCCTTGGAACACGAAGGAGAGGAAGTTTTCCCCACTTTCCTGCCCTCCCCCAGGTTTGGGATCCAATGAAATTCTGGCTCCAAAAAGCCAAAATGCACATTCCAGCACTTCTGCTCTGGGGTGATCCATTTCCCATGGAAAATACAATAAACCCAAACCCCTGTCTTAGAAACACCTGGAACATTTTAGAAATGAAGCACTTCTGGTCCAGGGGGCAACAGCCACGGCCAAGTGACCCCAAGGCTTTCTGAGGCTCTAAATCCCAGCTGGCTGTGTGGCAGTGAGAGGAGATTAACCTCAGCTTTGTTTTACCTCTTTTAACCCTTCAGTACCGTGGTTTCTTTTTGTCAGTGATGCTCCTGAGCCTCCTGTGTGTCTCTCCCAGAATGGATCAGATGCTCCCATTAAAAGCTCAGGAGTTTTTACAGCTGGGTTTTACTGAATAAATCCTGGGCAGGCACAGGTGCCAGCCTGGGTTTGGTAAGGCTGGAGGGTGTTTGTTGTCCAGGCACTGTGCAGGCTGGGATTTAACCCTGCCTCAGGCAAACAAAGCTCTCCCTCTGGGCTGGGCTCACAATATTGAGGAGCACCCCTGGTTAATGTGTGAGCAGATTTTTGACCCCTGCTTTGTGTGTGAGCAGATTTTTGTTGTGTCTCAGCAGCCACGCCTCTCACCAGTGACTCCTGAAGTCAGGAGTGGGAAGGATTGAAGGTTTATCCCAGGCAGGTCCCCTTGGGGTGGCTGCTGTCTGTCCATCAGAGCAGCTGAAATCCAGCACTGAGGAAAGAGAGCCCTTCCCTGCACAGCCTGGGCACATTCCTGCTCCCTTTTTTGCCCTTCTGAGGTTTTGCAGCCCCTTGGAGATGCATTTCTGAGAGAGCCAAAAGCACAGCACACCACTAATGCTTCAAAACACCTGGCCAGCTTTTAGAAAATACAAACACTCTACGTGATCACTTTTATGTGTTCTTTGAGAAGAAAATCTCTGACATTCGTGGCACAGGGGGAAGGCAGCGGCTGGGACTCCTGGAGCATCCAGGAGCGGGAACAGACCCCCCCAACTCGGAGGTTTTAAGTCATCCTTGCTCAAGGTGCCCACCCGAGGGCTGGACATCATGTCTGTGGTGTGGCAGCAGGGAGCTCCCCAGCCCTGGCTGTTCTGTCTGTCTGCTCCGAGTCCGTGCTGCCAGCCTGGCCTGGCCCAGCCCTCAGGTCCTCCTGGCTGTCCCCCAGCCCCTCCTGCCCCTCCAGATCACTGACCTGGCCCTCCCCGAACTCCAGGATGGTCGGCAAATTGCCCTGCTTGGGGCAGCGCCTCTTCAGGCTGACCAGGAAGGGTTGGGGCAGCGAGAAAATATCCACGTTGTTGCCCAGGTCGATCCAGGTGACGCTGGGGAACTTCTTGGGGTCCTTGAGGGTCTCGGTGAGGTCCCTCAGGATGGCCTTGGTGAGGCGGTTGCCGTTGAGGGCCAGCGTGGTGAGGCGGGGCAGGCCGCAGAGCGCGGGCAGCAGCTGCAGCAGCATCTCGTCCGTCAGCTCGGTGAAACACAGCTCCACCGTGTCAATGTGCTCCGAGCTGTGCTCCAGGTAGGACGTGACCCTCTCCAGGTCCTTCAGGGTCAGAGGGATGCCAGACAAGTCCACGGTGTTGTCCTGGGGCTTCCCCATCAGCACGGCCTTCAAGCTGCGGGGGGAGGCAAGGGCAGGGGGGTTAATGTGGGGGGATGGCTCTGTTTGGGGGTAAGAACGGGAGTTATGGAGAGATTTCATGGAGGATTTCAGCTGGGATTCATGGAGAATGTCCCACAGATCTTCTCTAGAGGGTGTCTGTGCTGCTGGGGGTCACAGAGACATTTCAAGGCTGTTTCGTGAGGAGCCCACATTCAAACCCCATCGTTCAGGAGTGCAAAGTTCATTTTTACAACCCCTGGAATAGAAAGGTTATCCCGGCTTCTCAGAGCCTTTCCTGCTGATTTTAAAGGTGCAAAAAAAGGGTGAGGAAACCCTTGATCAGACAGGCAGGAATTGCTGTGTGACATTTCTCATCAGGAAGCTCTTTAAGCAGGAGGACACATTTTTTGTCCTCTCAGCTGCACAGGTGGGAAACTGAGACCCCAAGCTTAGCAAACCAGACACCTCCAGGGTGGTTTGATTTCATTTTCAGTGTGTGAAACCTGTGGTCTCTTCAGTCTCACCACAGAGGAGATGAGCCCTACAAGAAACCCTCAGATAAATACATTTGTTCTCACGATGGCCCTACAGAGATTTATGAGCACAAGCTGGGCTGGAATTTTGAAGGTGAATTTATCTCCAGCAAAGCTCTGCTGGCAAACCAGGTGCCAAGGGTGGTTTGTTAATGAATTATCCTGGATACCTGAGGAGGTGGAAGGAGCCCTGTGACTGCTGTGTCAGCTTGGTGGCCTCAGGTGTCTCCTAAGTTGGCCCAGGAATTTGATGCTGTGGAGAATTTTGTGATGCTGCTGCTCTGGCTCCTCTGGTTTTTCCAAGACTGCCCAGAAATTCCAAAGAAGGGGGGAAATGGGAGCTTTGCCCCAAAAATCCATGCCCATAAATTGTATTCCAATTAAACCCAGAGCTGCTCCAAATCCAGAGCTGTAATTTGGTGTTGGCAGCTGCTTCTCTTGGATATCTACAGCCACATCCTTTTTTGGGGAGCAGCCCCATGTGGAACCAAGATGATGCCTCAGGAACCACCTTTACCCACCTAAAAAAAACCCCAAATTTCTGTTCTCTTGCAGTCCTTGAGCACCAAAGCAGCATCTCACTCCAAACAAAGCACAGAGTACCCTGTGAATCAGGAATAACCTTTTAACAGCATGGCTAAAATGCAGCCAGGGGTTGATCCTGGTTTTATCCATTTTTTCCTGTAATTTCTTGTGGGATGTCTGGTGTGGCTTCAAATAAGCAAAGTTAAGGAGATAACAAAGGGGGAATGGGGACAGCTTCAGCTCTTTTTTATTTTTATCTTGTTTTCAGCTGCTTTCAGTATTGTTGCACATTTGTATTTTCTCTTGGAGCGTGCATAGGATTTCTGCCAGCCAGGAAAAGGAGATTTCTCACTGGGGTTCTATCCTTTCCCCCCTGAGAGGGATTTAGCTGATACCCACTGGAACAGATTCATTCTCTTGTACAAACTGCCTTTTCACCCTGCTGATGAGCAAAAAATTCTCCTGAATCCCTGGGTCAGAGCGGCCCTGGGTTTGTCCTGGGGGAGGCTTTGCCCTCCTGTCCCTGGGGAACCAACAAACAAACCCCAAACAGGATTTCATCCAAACAGTCCTGTGGCTATTCTGAGCCAGCTCTTGGAAATCAGGGGGGTATTTATGTTAACAAACAGCTGGAAAAGCTCTGAGCCCTGCCATAAAAATTGGCCACAGAACGGCCCCAAATCTCAGGAGGAAAACCTTAACCATTAAACAAATCCCTCTGAGCTTTAGTGGGGGATCAGTTACACCCACTTGGTTTCATCCTCACATTTTACAAGGCTGTTCCATAGGGAAAACACTGATTTTTCACTCCCCCAAGCTGGGGTTTTGCCCAGTATAACACCAGGATTGGGAATAGAGCCCTTCACTAAGCTCACACAATTCATCAGCAGGATGCTGATTTATCCACGCTCACGCTGAGCTAAAAGCTCTCCCCCATGGAATCAGATCAGAAAACGTTGTCATAAACAGGAATATTGATGTTTAGATCAAAGGGAATTAAAAGAAAGGGGTTTCCTCCTGCTTTAAATTCATGGCACAGCTCTCAAGCGCTGCACAAATCGTGATATGTGTCGTGTTCTGAAGGAAAATTGGGATGTTCAGCCCAATTCCTTGCAAGGCAAAGGAATAGCTCAGGGAAAATGAAGAGGCAGCCCCAGAGAGTGAGGAATTACAGCAAGAAATTTATAGAGACACCTGGTGAGAAAACTATTTACGAAAATGTCAGTGAAACATTACTGGGCGTAATGAGTCACCCCCCAAAAAAAACCAGCCCAACAAGAAAAGGTAAAATCCTGAGATAAAAGATTTGTCCTGAAATAATGGTGGCAGCAAGGATCAGTATTAAAATGCTTTTTCAAAATCCCTGTTCCAAATGATGGCAGTCAAACACTGGAATAGAGATTTGGGAAAGGAAGAAATACAAAGAAAATGCTGCAAATTCAGTGATGATTTTGTGTAAAGGGTTGAGAATCCCCACCCTCAGAGGAGGAATCAAGACAAATAAATACAATTATTTAGCTTAAAGAGGGAATGTGACTTAGATTATAATATATTGTATATTGAATATCCTGTATTATTTTATACTATATATAAATATAATATATCCATATAATGAGGATGGATAAAAAGGAGATAAGAATGAAATGTTCTTTTTTCATCCCTCTTAATGCAGGATCTGAGGACGCCTCCTGATGCTGAAAGACTGAATTCTCAGGGGATAAAAGGAGCTCAAATTAACCTCCAGCCGTGGGATATCCCTGAGATCATGGACTTTGTGGGAGGTCCCAAGTGGACAGAGAACTGCTGTGGCTGAGAACATCTAAAATCATGCTAGGATTTAAAAAAAAATAAAAATAAATTGGCTGTGGACTAACTGAGTTTCAGAACAAACAGAATTCTGCAACTCACCCAGATGGAGTGACCAGAATTGGAGTTGCCAAATTCTCCAAAATTTAGAGACAGGAAGTTCTTCCTTTGGGCTCATCCTCATTTTTTTAGTGAGTTGACACACACCCAGTGTGGGCACTGCTGTGATTGCTCCTGAGCTGCTCCAGCTCCTCGGTCACAAAGGTTTGGAGCTTTATAAACAGCACAGTTTGAAGCCTCTGTTCCTCAGAGCTTGGGAAAATCTCCCTCCTTAGAGATTCCCAGGGTAAAGAGGATTTTTAAAATACATAAATTTCAAAATATGGAATATTAAAGCCCCTTTTGAGCTTTCAAATAAATTCATTAAAAATTCCTAAGTCTTTGCTGTTAAAAAAGCACCAGTGGAGATTAATTATTGTTCTCTCTTCTTGTTCCAAGAGCCTTCCCAGTTTTGCCAAGGTTTGCACTTTTCATGTCATAAACTCCAGACATCCCTGCTGTAACATCATCCCTGTGCTACCCAAATTCCAGCCTGTTCCTCCTGCAAACTCTTGGATTTTGGGGGTTGGGAAGGGCAGGTTGCTCAGCCTGGAGCTCCTCACTCTGGCCCTGACATGTGACATCAAAATTAACTTTATTTTGGCCATTTATAGAATAATTGTGCCTGCTGGGAATGCTCTGTGGGAATCACAACCCTAAACAGCATCTCCAAAAAAAAAATATCCCCAAACATTTGGGCTGTTCCTTGGATTCAGCACAGGAATTTTTAAGCATCTTAAGAGCAAACCTGAAGGGAAAGCTAAAATTGTCCCTGAATCTGCCTGTGGCAGCAGGATCCCCACAGTGACCTCCTGTGCTGCTCCAGGAATAGCTCTGCGCTCTCACAGCTTCCCAAATTCCCAAATCCCCAAATCCCTGCCTTTTCCTTGGCTCCACACCAAGCTCCAGGCCTGCCCCACCTCCATCCCAGGCAGAAGCTGGGGGTGTTTGATGGGAAAAGGGAATTCTGTGCTCTGGGGACTGGCAGGGCTCATGGAAGGATCGCTGGCATCAGGAAAGTCTCGATCCATAAATCCTTCCCAGCAGAAGGATAAAAGTCAGGAGCTGAGGTTTACAGTTCTTTACTAAACCTGTGGATTCCTGGAATGGTTTGGGCTGGGGAGGGAAGGGAAAGGTTCTTGCTCTGTTTCAGAACCATCATTTTCCTCCCCTTCTTTTTTTTTTTTTTTTCTTTTATTTCCTGCTAAACAAAATGCTAAAAATAAGCACTTGGGAGCCATCAAAATGCTTTGCTGTAATGATAACTCTATTTAATTTAGTGAAATAAACAAAAGTAAATCTCTTGCTGTTGGAGAGCTCCATTTTCCTATCCCATCCTCCCCAAAATAAAATGTATTTATATCATCCTTGCAATGATACCATTTGCTCCCAAACCTCTGATTTTATGCAGAAATTGTTGGCATTTTTCCAACAAACTCTGCTCCAGAGGAATAAGGAGCTGCAGCTGATAGAACCTGGATTTGCAGGAGAGGCAATTTGAACAAATGCCCAGAGAAAAACAATCAGGAATTCAAAGGAAAACAACACATTGGGCTCATTGCTTCTGAAAATGACTCCCTGGAAGAGAACTGGCTCAAAATAAGGATTTGTGTTACAATAAATGAGAGTTTGCCATAAAACAAAGAGCATTTTCTTCAAATTCTAACACAGGAGGGGGAAAAAAAAGCTGGAAATACTCTTGGAAAGGGACTTTTATGATTGGGTAGATACAAAAATACCCACATTTTATTGGATTTACATGAGCAACTCTCCACTAGGGAGTGAGGAAGCTGGGCTGGTTAGGAAAAGGACCTTTAAATCCATTTTCAGCCCTCAGTGTCCAAAGGGAAGAGGCCACAGGAAAAGAAATTCCTAATAACTTGCTCATAAAAACACACAACTGGCTGCCAACATGTGTAAAAAAAAGTGAAAGAAGAGAAGGAAAAAAGAAAAGGGAGAGGGATGGGATGGAGAACAGCAGTGCTGGCCAGGACTCCAGCACTTTTCTGGAAAAGCAGGATGGAGATTTCCCTAAAATCCGTAATTCCAGCCTCTCCCTTTGGTTTTGTTGCTGCTTTGTTTGATTTTTGGAAGGAATGACTCCATTAACAGTCTGGATGTGACCCCAAAAGTGAGGGGAGAGTGTGGCTGTTCCTGCTCTGTCCCCTCACCATAAATTGAGTTTTGCCACGTGGTGTCTATTTGCAGATGGAAATTGGGGCTGGTGTTAATTATCTCCATCCCATTCCAGAGCCTGAGGAGTTTTGGGATGGGAGAAACACCCAGGCAACAGCTCCAATTCACCTCTGCCCACCAAAATCCTCTCCCAGCCCTCAAATCTGCCACTGGTGTTGTCCAAAAACCAAAAAATCCAGGAAAAAATTGTGGAGAACTCCCTGTATCCAGGCCCTCGCTGAGGGTTTGAGGTTCACACTTTGCAGAGGTTGTTTGTGTTTCCTGTTCCTTGAAATAAGTTGAATTCCATTCATACAATGGGGAAAAACCCCAGGATTTTTAGGGGTGGGGAAATGAGGGGAGAGAAGTTTCAACTCTGATCCTCCAGCCGAGTTTTCTCATCAGAAACCAACCCAAAGAAATGAAAAATTAAAAAAAAAAAAACCCCAAACCAAAAAAATAAAGCCCTCTCCCAACTGCTCTTCCTGCAATTAGGGAGTGATCAGCTGCCAAAATGTGTGCCTGGGGCTTGGCTTTCCCTAAAATGTTTATTTTATTGGAGCACAGATCACATTTGGAAGAGTTTAGGCAGGCTGAGGTCCCCTCTTGCTCTGATGAGAGCCAGAGCACGAGAGGCAGCCGCCAGCCCGGCTCCCAGGGTCCTGCTTGTCCCTCTCCTTCCTTGGGAAGGGATTTTTTCCAGAGCCAGGAGCTGCCATCACCCCCTGTTTTTCCCTTTCTCCCCCCAGTCCTTGGCAGGTCCCTATTCCAAGCCAAATCCTGCCCTTCCCACCAAAATCCCAACAGCTCTGGTGTCCAAAGTGAAGCCCAACACGGATCCTGCCACACTCGGGGAAAACTGCAGCTCCTGTCCCTGGAGGGGACAGGGACCCATGGGATGGATCTGTGGTGTCCCAGGTGGGGCTGGTGGCCTCCAACCACATCCAGGGAGGTCAGGAAACCCTCCCAGAGCACAGAATATCCCAAAGAACTTCCAGGGATTTGTGCTGGAGGAGCTGCACAGCCAGAGGAAGAGGAGATGGACACAGTGAGGCAGCCAAGAGCCTCTCAGCTGATGTTTGGCTAGTTTTTAATCAGAATTTGCACATCTATTGAGCCAATAAAGCTTTGTTTCGCCTGGTTTTCAACACACAGGTGTTAAATTGGCCAAGCAAACCCTGTTCTTGTGGCCATCCTGCTTCCCTGCAGGGGCTCCCAGAGGTTGGGATGGGATCCCTGGGATTAGGGAGCCTCGGGATAAGGAGCTCTGAACATGTTGGGCTGCTCCTTCACACCCTCCCTGCCCCTGCGTTGGAAATTCCAACCCTGGGATGCATCTGCTTCACATTAACACCAAATACTGGGTCCCCCTCAGCCCAGCAGAACAGAGGCACCTTTGTACCCCCAGCTCCCCTCCAGTGAGGAATAACAGGATACACAACCCGACCCACTGCTGCTTCCCTGCCCCTGCCTTCAAAAGAAATTGGGATTTTTTGGGGTGGATTTTTCATTTTCTCTTTCCAATGAGAGGATTTCTCAGCCCCTCTCCTCTGTAACTGCAGCAGAGGTTGAAACTGAATTTTTGGCACCCTGTGGGTTTTCCTGCTGGGCACAGTTTTTGGTGCAGTTATTTCATTTCAAGATCCCCTTCCTTGAGCCCAGGGGCAGCAGAAAGCGGCTGCAGCCGCTCCTGCAAAGCCAAACAAAGGGAAAAATCCAGGCAACAGCTTGGGCTGCCCAAAGCAAACTCCCTCTTCCCCAGCTCTCCATTGCTTTTGGCAGGTTATTTCCCTGCTGACGGGGGGATTCCAGCCCCCGGCTCCCCCCAGAGATGAAAACAGAGCAGGGAGCAGAGGTGGAGCTGGCTGCCAAGCGGGTGTTACAGAGCAGGAATGTGATCCTCTGCTCTCAGCAGCCAAACACTGCCCAGCTCCTCCATCCCCACAGCTCGGCAAATTCTGCTGGACGAGCAGGAAAACCACAAAAGCCTTCCCTGGATTTTCCCTGGCTGCCTGTTTGGCCTCTCTGCTTCAACACAACATGCAAATATTTTGCTTTTTCCTCTGCTCTCTGCACCCACCGGTGGTGAGGGTTTGTGTCACTGCTCAAGGAACGCTGCTGGAAAGATCAGCCCAACAAATCTTCCCAAGTCATTTGTCCATATTATGTCAACACACACTTTTTGTTTTTCCCCTCAAGTCTCCAGCTCATCATCTCTGGGATAACAAGCCCCCTCTGAGGGGGTGACCCAGCAGCTGATGGAAGCAGGGAATGCAGGAAGGACCGGCTCCAGATGGGCATTTCTGCCCTGAGCTGCCGAGGGATAATCCTCATTCCCCAGAGCACGGAGAGGAGTGACCTGCAGCACACGAGGATGGATTCATCCAAAAAAAACCACCCCCAGCTCCATAGTCTGGCGCTAATCCTGGACAAGGGGGGAGTAAAACACCTGGAAGAACATATTGCCACCCTGAGCTGGACAAAAGGAATCAGCCTTGGGGCTGAACGCCTCGTTTGACACTGGGATATGTCAAAACACAGGCTGGAAAAAACAGAATGTGTCCAGGGGCTTTGGACCTTTTCCTGGAGGTGCCAAAAGCCCCTTTTGAGATGCAAAAGAACCTTCTGTGCTTCAGATGCTCCAGAGGGGTTGTTCTTTCCCCACCGCATCTCCCAGGAGCAGAGGGGTGTGTGAGGATGAAGGAGTGGAAGGGCTTGTGTCACCCATGGGGACTCTCAGGGGACAGACAGAAACCCCCGGTGATGATGACACAGCCCCCCGCTGTCGCGTTATTTTAAAGCTAATTTAAAGTTATTTCCATGCAAAGAGAGCAGCAGCAGCAGCAGTGGGAGGTGGGAACTGGCCGCCGAGTTAAAGTGATGGATGAGCTCACTAAACACCTTCATTCACCGCCTGAAAGGGCTGGGGAAATAAAATAAATGTAAAGAGCGCTTAACAAAGCTTCATCATGGAGCTTGATTGTCTTAATTGGGAAATAGAGCCCGGGGTGACAGCCAGGCTGGGCTGGCTGGGGTTAAATGGGCACCACTGCTGGGAGCGATGCCTTTCCCCCATGGAGCAGCATCCAAATTGCCCCTCACCACCTAAAAAAAGGAGCCAGCGTCTGTTTGAGACAAGACAAATCATCACAGAGTGTCTGGGCGACTTCCAAGCCGGGGAGATGAATTATTTTCCCAGCTGACTCCCTTGTTTAATAACAATTTCTACCGCTTGGTTCCCGGCTCCGCAGCCCGAGTGGCGGGGATGGATTTAAATAATCCCCGCCATGTGTCCATGGAAAATCTCATTTCCACTCTGCCCAGAAGCAGAGGAGTAATTATTACCAAAAAAAAAAAAAACCCAAAATTAAAAACCTCACACTTTTCACCATCAAAGGCCTTTTCTAATTAAGCACCAGACTAAAAAAAACACATTTAAAGGAGGCACAAGCCCCCAAGTACGAGGAGGGGAGGGGAGAGATGTTCCCTCTGAGGGGAGGAAAACCACCACGTTATTCCTCGATCCAGCTGCAGGAGGAGAGAGGAAAGAGGAGGATGAGGGTGGCTTGAAATCAAGGTTTTAAATCCCAGATAGTGCCTTAAAAACCCGAAGTTTATAAGGCTGCAGCAGAAGTGTGATGGAAAAGTCAGTTTGCTGCTCCAAATCACCTCAGCCTTGGGTTGTTCCTGCTTTATTTTCCAGCATTTCTGGCTGTCGGGAGCAGCAAAAACAATTTGAGCCTTTGTCAGGGTCAATATTCACCAGTGTGGGGGAAACGGTGCTTTGCAGTTTGGGTCAATTGATTCCAACTCTGGGGCAGCCCAGACAAGGAGCAGGGGAAGGGCTCATTTTACACATTGAGCCAGTGGAAAAGCTGAGGTCCCTTCCATGTGCCAGCCCTGTGCCACCAGCCCGGGTGGCATTTCAGTGTCCATCAATTATTGACAGTTCAGCTCCAGCAGCGTGAAATGCAGCTCTTGGTTAATGCCAGCTCTTGGCTGGGCAAGGTGTGCCAGGAGCTGCAGCCTCTCCATGGGCAGGGGTAACCTCTCCCCTAACTCAGCTGGGAAAAAAACTCATTTCCACCCCAAACCTACTGATCTGGCGGTCAAATAGCTCTCAGTGGCAAG